TGAAGTGGTGCACCCCCGGGTCGCCAAGGAAGCGCCAGTTCGCGTCGAACTCCACGCGGCTCAGGGCCCTCGCCGGCCGTTCTCCTAGAGTTTTCCTAGCCCTCTGCTAGCGTTTCCAGCTAGCCGGGAGCCCCGGATATCCGGGCTGCCTAGTGCCCGAGCCTCCTGTGGGAGACACCTAGTCCGTCTCCCAGACTCTTGCAGACGCCCAGCCGGATGGGGCTATCTTTAAGGCTCGCGGGCGCAAAAAAAAACACCCGGCCTGGGGGACGCGCGGGGCTATTTTAAAGGCCGGAAGATGCTTCTCGCGGGCGTCTCCCAGACGCACCCGGCTCTTGAAGAAGCGATCTCGAAACAGCAATTGGACTTCTTTGCACCACTCGCAAGCAGCCAGACAACACCCCTCCCTCTTCCTCGTCCGGCGACGGGTCCCCGGGCTTGGGACCGGGCTTTGGCGGGGTTAACCCCAGCGGCTCGGGCCGGGACGTGTAGGGAACTGTGTTGAGTCGGACTGTTTTAAAAAGGCGTCCCGGACTTCGATCCCGAGCAGTCGAGTTCGACCCCTAAAACCAACAGAAAAAGTTTCCCTACGGAAGCCCAAAAGGGGACAAAGGGGTCCGTGTCCGAACCTCGACCCCGCCCTGCTTCCCAACTGACCTCGAGTCTAGACATAGGGGTCCTGTTATTTGTTCGATCAGGGGAAAGCAGCGCGGGGTCGACGTTCGTTCTCCCTCGCTGCTAGTCACTCGCCAGCGCAACCCCGTGTCGAAAAAAAAAAAAAGGGACCCGTGCCTGCGATAAGAAGTCTGTTTTCGACACGGGGCGGCGCCGCCGGTCTCGTCTCTCGACCGAGTGCCAAGCCGCTTTCGTATTCTGAGGCCGTCGCCGGCCTTGCTCCGGCCTTGCAGCGGTTTGAGCCCCGCCCTGCCTGACGCCTTGCTCGCCTCTCGCTCTCACAAGTTCTCGGGAGCCGGCGCGCTGCGCTTCTCAGCCTGCGTCGCGCGGCGGTCGGCGCGGCGGGTCGGCCCGGCGCCCGCCCCGCCTCCCTTCTTCACCAACAGGCAGCGCGGGTGCAGGGAGATGGGCGCCGTCGCCCAGCCCCCCACCCGCACCGCACGGTCACCTGTCAGGGCAGTCGCGTCCCGGAAACCCCTCTTGTAGTCTCGGCCTTGCAGGCTGAGGATGTCGAAGCTGCCGTCCACCGGGCAGCCCCAGGTGGTTGAGCGCTTGCCTGCTGCCCGCCCCGCCGTTGTGTTTTCCCCCTGTCCGCGCCGCCTTACGGCGGACAGCACCGTCGTGTCCCCCGGCGCCGCCACGCAGATGCTGCGCTCCTGCGCGGCGAGCGCGCGTCTTGACGGCGTCGCTTTGCCCGCGCGCCTCTGCCACGCGGTAGCCATCCTGACTGGCCGCCTCCGGGCGGAGGTGGAGGGTGAAGTCCACCTGCGCCGGCGCGCGACCTCTCGCGCACGTCTCGGCCGCTGTCGCCTCCGGCGTCGGCGGCGCTCGCGCCTCGGGAGTTTCCGCGGCTCGCGAACGGCCCCCTTGTTCGCCCGGGCCGCCCTTCCGCGGCGGCGGCAGGGGCTTCGTCGCGGCCTGCGCGACGGCCGCGGCTGTCTCTTTCCCCTTCCCGTCGCCGCGCGCGCGCACACCCGTGCCTTCTCGGCGCCGGCGCCGCCTCCCCGTCGGCCGCGCGCCTGGGGGGCCGTCGGGGGGCGCAGCGACACCTCCGCCGTCAGCTTCGCCTCGGTCGCCGAGCGGTCTATTCCGGTCTCCTCGGCCACGTCCTCGGGCGCCGCGCCCGCTTCTTCGGCGTCGTCGCCCCGCGCCCGCCGCGAAAAACGAGCCGTCTCCCGCGCCTCGGGGGCGTCGGCGGAGGCGGCCCCCGTAGGCGCCGTCTGGCGGCTGGGCTCCTGGCCGCACGCGCGATCGCGGGCTTGGCTCTCGCGCGCGCCTCGCCTCTGCCGGCTCCGCGGGCTGGTCCGGCGGAGGCGGCGGCGCGGTCTCCTTGGCCTCGCCGCCACGCGTTTCCGTCGCGGTCACTCTTCGTCGGCGCCCTGCGCGCCTTCATCTGCGCCAGCGTCACCTTCTTCGGCGCCGGCTGTTTGCCGCGGACCCGCCTGGTGGGCTGCTCTGGCACCTGCGGCGCGCCGAGGCACCGGCGCCCGGCCCGGCCCGCGCGAGCCTGGAAGAGGGCCTCCACCTCTGCCGGCTGCGGCACCTGGCCGCCTCGCGCGCGCGCATGCGCGGGCGCGCGTTCCGTCCGCGGTCCCCCGCCGCCCACGCGGCTGCCGCGGCCTTCTTCACCTGGCGGGGGCGGAAGAGGCGCCACTCGCCGCGCGCCGCGCGAGCGCTTGGCGGGCCTCCCACTTGGCGGGGGTCACCGTGCGCGCGCATGGGCGGCAGACGCACCCAACCTCCTTCTCGCACGGGCGCGCCATGGCTTGCGCGGGGGAGAGCAGGGAGAGCAAGGAGGTTCGGGGCTTGAGGCTCGCGCCGCGGACGGTCGGCTCGGCCCCCGGAAACGGCGCCCCCGGCGCTGCCCGCCCCCCTTCCCTCCCTGCCGTCTCTGCCCTCCGCCGCGCGCCGTGTCGCGCGTAGGCCGCTCTTTTTTTCGCCCGTCCGGGGCTTCTTCGGGTCTCGCAGGCTGCGCTGCGTCGCCCTGCGGCGCTCCGGCCTCGGGCGGGGAAGGCTCGCGTTTCCGACGGCTCTGCGCTCCGCGCGAGTTGCTCTACGCGAGTCGCGAGGCGCGAGTTTCGCCGCGCAGGCTGCTCTGCGCAAGTTGCTCTGCCCAAGCGCTCTGCGCAAATTGCTCTGCGCAAGCTGCTCTGCCGGAGCCGCTCTGCGCGAGTTGCTCTGCGCAAGTTGTTCTGTCCGAGCTGCTCTGCGCAAGTTGCCGGAGCCGCTCTGCGCGAGTTGCTCTGCGCAAGTTGTTCTGTCCGAGCTGCTCTGCGCAAGTTGCTCTGCCTGAGCCGCTCTGCGCAAGTCGCTCTGCGCGAGTCGCGCTTCTCTACGCGGCGCGCGGGCTACTGGCGATCTTCCCGCGAAACCTGGCTTCCCGAAAAAAGTAATATGCATTGCGTTCTCCTGCTAGGTTTTCCCGAAAGAGGTGAGACAGACTTGGGTTTCTCCAACTAGCGCAGGTTTTGCGTGGGATCGCCGCGCTAAGGGGCAAAAAAACACGAACAGTCCCTTGAAAGTCGGCCCTTATGCCGGGGAGTCGTTGCTCCCCTCCGCCTGGGCGCGGCCGTCGCTTCCTCGGTCTCGGGGTTTTTGTTTACCCAGGCGGGGGCCCTTCCCGAGCCTCGGCGACGACCGCGGGGCTCTTAGGGTTGCGCCCTTCCCTGCCAGCTTCGCTCGGCTCTGATTCGCTTTCTGTCTTCGCCCCCCGCGGGCAGCGCTCGCCTTCCCGTCGCTCGCCCCGCGCTTTCTTCCGCCCGCCGCGGTCTGAGCCCGGCCCCTTTCTTAGACGCTGCGCGGAGAGCCGGCGCCGACCCCCGTTTCCCCCCCGCTCGTCTTAGCTTCGCTCGCCTCGCCTCCTCTTCTACCCTCGGCGGGTCTGGGAGCGAGCGACTCCGGCGCTGCCGCTCGGCGCGCGCGTTCGTGAAGTGGGAATTGAGCACAAAACCCTAAAAGGAAATGTTGTGGGAGGTTTCCCGCGCTCGCCGCGGAGGGAGGGGAAAAAAAAGCTCGCGCCAATCTATTGGCCGAGCGCTGCCAAACAAATGATTGGGCCGTCGCGTCTGGAGTCCGCCGCCAACCCTACTGCAGCCCTGGCTGCATGGGAGGCGGCGAAGCCCCCGCGCGTGAATGTCGACCGAGCTCGCGGCAACGCCCTAAACCCTAAACCCTAAACCCTAAACTTTTAGTGGCTGCCGCCATATGCGCCAACACAGGTGTAAGGTTGTGTGTCGATCTTAGTGTTGACAGACCGGTCAAGCGACATAAGATCGATGCTCAATTAAGCCGTCTATCGAGCTATGTGACTTACAAAATTTAAGCTTGCCTCAATTTAGACTAGACCAACTTTTCAAGCTCGAGATGATAGATTTAAACTGTCCATTGAATCGGGCGAGACTGAGGCTTAAACTTTTCATTGATGGAGCATCAAACGTTCTAAACGCTTAAGCTGACCTCGCCCCAAATTTATCAACGCCGCAAACTCGAGGTCGGAAACGTCGTAGTCTGTCAATTTGTTAGTAGATTTAAATAAGAAGCTCGAGACGGCATATCGAGATATCTATAGATATATTTAGCGATTGAACGTCAGGCGTTTGAAGCGCTCGAACAAGCCTGCCTCCAAGGTAGGTTGACACCTCAAACTCAAGATCGCGAACATTGCCGCTCGACACAAATGCTAGGTTAAGCTTGCTTGCCGGATCCGAAGCTAGACAAATCAGACGGGCCTGGCCAGCAGGTGGTTGGGCTGTTGGTTGCCGGGGCTGGGCCTCGCTTGTTTCACGGACTTTTCCAGGCCCTCCAGACAGGATCCTGGGCCAACAGGCATAGGTGAGGGTGGATTTTTTTGGCCAAAGGGGGTGGGCCTTGCTTGGGTTTAGGCTGGGCCTGAGGATCGTCAAACAGGCCTGGCCCCTCTCACAGGACAGGATCGCCTTCCCGGGACAGAGCTAAGCCTTGGAAGGCAGCCAAATGGCCAGATCTCTAGATTTGGAGCAGAGCTGGCTAGTTTTATATGATCCCACGCAAAGAATTCATCAGCGGCCGGGCCAAGCCCAAATCCTGAATTTTTGGGAAGGAAGTGAGCTTTCCTAACACCTTCCCCCTCCCGCAGGACAGAATCGCCTTCCCGGGACAGAGCTGGGCCTGAGGATCTCCCGAACTCAGATCCCGCTAGTGCCGGCCTACGCCATCACTGCCCACGGGAGTCAGGGTAAGACCTTGCCGGCGGCCATGGCCGACTTCAACGTGGACAGGTGGACGGACATCACCTTCGGAACCGTGGCCGGCAGCCGCGTGAGGCCAGGCGGTTTTTTTTAAGGGAGCGGAGTAAAAACTTTTGCGCGCTCGGCGGTCGACTCAGATTCGTCGCGTCTGTTGCTCGCAGGAGCCGTGAAGATATCAGAGGGGCCAGAGTTGCTGCTGAAGACTCTCCGAGGTGAAAAGATTGATTGGGTCAACTACCGCGAGGCCCGCGCGCCCAGCGCGCCGTGCCAACAATGCAAAGTGGTTAAGCCTTTCGACTACTTCGCGGACGCCCAGTGGGACAAAGCCAGAGCCACCCTGCCTGCCACTTGTCTGACTTGCATTCATAAGGATGGAGGCGCCTGCAAGCGCAAACTGCCTTCCAATGTTGAGCGGCTGCGCTGCATTGGCTGCGGCTTCGAGAAAGTGGAGCACGCGTTTCCCTGAGCTCAACTTCGGCAGCCTCGTGCAGAAGAAAGGCGAAATTGCATCGCGTGTTTGAAGAACGTCTCGGAGTTGACTTGCTCGCAATGCGCAGAGGTGAAGCCGCTGAAGGAGTTCCACCTATCTGCGTTGACGCTGCCGTGGGCGGCCGCGTGTCAAAGTTGCCAGGACGCGGTGCGCGGCAAGGCTCGTCGGCTCCGGGCCGGATGGGAGAAGTGCCGAGGCTGCGCGGCTTTTCTGCCCACGTCTTCTGCCGTCTACATCAATCAACGCTGCCCCAACTGCGCTGCAGATCGCAAATGGGGCGAACATACTTGTCTCAGATGCAAGAGGAAATGGAGCGAGAATTCGGCGGAAGAACAGATCCGCAAACGATTCTGCCCGAATTGCCGCTAGGGTAGATCTTGGAGAGCGATTTTAAATGAAGGCGGAAAAAAGCAAATGCGCGATTGGGTCTTGCCTTGTTGGCGCGCGGCGCAGCAATTTGAATGTGACATTCCCAGCATTGCGCGGCTCTTTGACCTGCTAGCTCATCAGCTTCAAAATGCGTGGGGCCGCGTTGGGCCCGCGCTATGTTTTCGAGATGTCGCCAAGGCGCGGGGAGCGCGCTAGCGTTGCGATGACGCTCTTGTCCTGACGGGCCGAGGCCTTTAGAGCAGTCCGCTTTGCCGAGGCGGGGGACATGATTCGCGCTTCGCTCGCGTGTTTATTGTCTTGCAGTCGCGGGACTCAGGTCTAGTCGGAGACGCGCGCGCAAGGCCGCCGCGGCGCAAGAGCGCGGAGTGCTCCGAGTTGCCTGGCGCGAGGCGCGAGTCGCGTGATGTTCGATAGTTCTGGCGCTTAGGTCTTCCCCATTTCCGCGAAGCTTCTAGAACTAACTGGGACGATGTTCGAACCTAACATTGTGAGCTCAGGTCTCAGTTTGAGTTATCGAGAGTGACTACGTCTCGGAATTTTGCTGATTTTCGGCTACGCGTTTGCATAAGCCTTTGCCTGAGCAATTATCTCAATCCAGCTTGAGCCATTTTTTGCTTGCATTTAAAGGCCTCGCTAAGTCGCGGCTTTTTGATGTTCGAGCTTGTCTTTCGCGTTCGTTAGGCGAGCATGATCTTGTTCGATCTCCCTTTTAAACGCTCGAGTTGTTC